GGTTCGAGCTTCAGCACTCCACAGTACAGCGCACACCTCTTGCTGTTGACCACAGACTCACTGCTCCCTTTCCTAATGAGCCGTTTGAGCCTAGTGGTCCCTATGTAGAGCTTGTGGGCTGTCTCATGTACATGATGACTTGTACTCGTCCGGACCTCGCCTTCCCTCTTAGCATCCTTGCTCGCTTTGTTGCGCTAGGGAGACACCGATCTGTTCACTAAACCGCTGCTGTGAGGGTGGCAAAGTACCTAGCGTCGACATCAGGCATGGGGCTGGTACTTGGAGGGACACAGCCGGTCGTCCTTACTGGTCAATGTGACTCTTCTTACGCAGACGACGCCGAGACCCACATGTCTATTCAGGGTTACTGTTTCAGCCTGGGCTCTGGAGCTATTTCGTGGAGGTCCACGCGCTCCTCCTCGGTCTCGACCTCTACCGTTGAGGCTGAGATCTACGCTGGAGCATGGCTACACAGGAGCTGCGTTGGTTGACCTTCTGGCTCACAGACCTTGGTGAGCGGCCAAGCTCTGCACCGACCTTGTTCACTGACAACAAGACGACGATTCTTCTCTGTCGGGAGCCTCGACTGGAGAGCAGAGTGAAGCACATCAACGTCAGGTACTTTCTTCTGCGAGAGTTGCCGAGGCGTGGACAGGTTGGCTTGGACTTTGCGGAGTCCGAGGCCAACACTGCAGACATCTTCACTAAGGCGCTTGCGCCTTGTGACCACCACAGGTATTGTGTGTAGTTAGGTCTCGTTAACACTAGTTCTCGTCTTGTGTAGACGTTGCTTGTTTTTGTTTTACACGTTGCTTATACACCTGTAGACTCTTGAATTGGCCTTGTGGCCATTCTGCTTGTGCTCGGAATGTGTGGTGACATTGTGATCTACCCTGAGCTTTGTTTCTTTGTGATTGGTCTTATGACCGTACACTTTTGGTTTTTGCTTGGCACCCCTCACTTAGGCATATGGGGGTGTATCAAATGTTATAGCTTGTAGTGAGGCTTGTCTTATGGGGTACAAATGTTAGGGTTAGGCATATGTACCCCAACCCACATCAATGCATACACAATTCAGTTTCTGACACCTAGCAATACTGATTTTCAGTTTCATCCCAAGGGAAAACACTGATTTTTCAGGGTATCAAAAAATAAAACGTTGAGCACTCAGAGTGCCAAAAATTTAAACACTGATCAACTATATCAATAATGAGAACCCCTGCATGGGTTCCCTTAGCACACTGCAACAAGCACGACGTTGCCACACATTGGACAACCAATCAGATTGCGCCTTCGACAATAATACCCAAATTCGGCCAGTGTAGGGTGATGTCGGTGCACAGTGGGCAGGGCGCTTGCTAGGATTCAAGCCCGTCTGAAGACATGTATAAAAAATTTCGTTTGGTCTGACGTTTTGACGAGGAAAAACGGTTAGTCTGAACTTTCAGACGAGTGCAAACGCCACGTCTGATTTTTCAGCTGAAATAGATAGTGGTGTCTGTTTTTTTTTCAAATTGCATTGTGTAGTGTATTACCGTGTATCGATTCAGGGCGACACAACCTAAATGTGGAAGGTTGTTGGGCAGCTCGCGGCATGCTGAGGGCAGGGGGGTGGGTGTTGGGCTGCGACAAGGACTTCGGGGGAGTTCGGCTGGGGGTGTTGGGCTGTTGCGAGACTTTTCGAGAGGAAAGCGGGCTAGGCTAGGAGCGGGGACCTGGGGAGGGGACCTAAGGCTGGGGGAAAGGGGGAGAAGGGCTGGACTAGGTCAGTAATATAGGGACGAGGAGCGAGGGCATCAACTGGGGGGCTGCGCTGTTAGAGAAGCGAGGGATCGGGGGGGAAGAAGGGGGGGTGGGGGGGGAGAGGGGATTGGGGTCGATATCAGACAAAATGCAACCCCCTATCTAAAATTTCAAACAAAGTATAAGGCTTCCTCTGAAAAATCAGATGAACTGAAATTCGTAATCTTACAGATCAGACGAAGTAAAAATCCTCGTCTTGAAAATCAGATGAAAACAAAAATCAAGGTCTGAAAATCAGAAAATCAGACCAATTTGGTCTGATAACGAGAGCCCCGACAGTGGGTACCTGAATGTAGACAACGCGCCAAACTTGGCGAAATGCAGTTTCCAGTTTCAGGGTCAAGCGCGATACAACACTGACTCATCAGTGTTCGAAATCGCAAAACACTGAAAACATAGTGTTGGAATAAAAAAACTATGGAAATTCATGAGAAAACTGAAACGAGAATGAAGAAGGGAGGGTTTCACTAGCAGCAATGAGGATACATATAGCAAACCCCAGATGGGTTGTACTCGCTATAGAGCACCCCACTACAGGCTAGAGAATAACATTCTGACAATTCAGTGTCGTACAAAATATAAGGCTGAACGATCAGGGTCACTTCTGTTGGAAACAAGTAACTTAACGCTTCTGATGTGTCGGAACATTGAACTGTAAACGAAGCAAATAGCAACGAAGCAACAGCGAGTCAACCATCGGAGGTTGACAAATTGCTGGAGGTTACGCGTGTCAGAATCCCAACCACTAAACCATTGGGATAAAAGGGTTTGTTAAATAGTGGGTCAGTGCGCCCATAACCCCCCAGGCCAACATGCCTGTAACCTTTTCATAGGATCAATCAGGGATCTCCAGTGGACCTCTGACACCTCCCCGCACTGAAATGCCCGAGGTGCACACACTGGGATTCGAACCCGAGACCTTCGCTCTGATACCTGTCAGAATGTTATCTTATGCTCTAGCCTGTAGTGGGGTGTTCTATAGCGAGTACAACCCTTCTAGGGTTTGCTATTTGTATCCCCCTTCTTGCTAGTGCAATCCCCTTCTTTCTTCTAAATTTTCACATGCTATCAGAGCAGGTCGATCCCCTTGGATCGATCCTGTGGGTGGGTTACCACCTCCTCGCTTCCGCTGCAACTTTTTCTTCCCGCCGTGCGCCCCGAGGCGCGCGGCGGTTTTCTGCCCGCCGTGCGCCCCGAGGCGCGTGGCGGTTCTCTGCCCGCTGTGCGCCCCGAGGCGCGCGGCGGGCTTCTGCCCCGTCGTTCGCCGCGTCGCCCTCTGGAGGCGCCGCGACGAGCGACGGGGACCCGTCGCGGCCCCGCCGCCCCACTTCGCGGCCCCGCCGCCTCACGTCGCGGCCCCGCCGCCTCACTTTGCGGCCCCGCTGCTCCATTTCGCGGCTCCGCCACCCTACGTTCGCGGCCCCGCCGCCCCACTTCGCGGCCCCGCCGCCCTTCTGTCGCGGCCCCGCCGCCCCAACTTCGCGGCCCCGCCGCCCTACACCTGCGGCCCCGCCGCCCTACTTGCGCCCCGGCCCCTTTTCCCGTCGCCCGTCGCAGCTCCCTCGGGGGCCCTGGGGGAGGGGGGCGAGCGCCGCTATCCCACCCTGCCTACCCACCATCCCACCCTGCCTGTGTTAGGGTTTGGGGGTGGCAAGTAGGGGGTGGCGAGTATGGGGGTGGCACTTCTTCATTCCTCCCTTTGCTCCTCCTCCTCCTTCGTCTCCCACTGCTGCAGCTGTCGCTGAGGGGGGTGGATGTGTGGGAGACTGGGGTTTAGGGTTTAAGGGGGGTGCGTGGGAGTGGAGCTAGCGGTGTAGCAGCGAGTGTGTGCCAGGGGGAGTGGGATAATTTGGGGAAGCTGCATGGAGGTTGCCGTCGTGTCGCCAGCAGCACCTGTATTCCGGGGACTTCGCCCGGTAGCCCAGTCGTAGCCAGCTGTGCCAGCAGCCCGTGGGTCCGTTGCTCGTCTGCCGCTACTTTAGCCGCGGGGCCAGTTACTCCAGTATTCCGGGGGCTTCGCCCGGTAGCCGCTGTGCCAGTCTGCCTCCTATTGCCCGTGTGTCTGCAGCTTCAGCCGTCGCCTCCTATCTCCTCTCCTCTCACTCTCTCTCCTCCTCCTCACTTGCCCGTTGTGACTACCACTAGCTTTGCTCATAATTGTGAACTTTAAACTATTGCTTCTTGAACTTGTGCTCAGAATGTGTGGTGACATTGTGATCCACCCTGAGCTTGTACTGCTTTGCTTGCTCTGCTGATTACACCCCACTTTGGCTATGGGGGTGTGTCAGAATATTATGCTCTAGCCTGTAGTGGGGTGCTCTATAGCGAGTACAACCCTTCTAGGGTTTGCTATTTGTATCCCCCTTCTTGCTAGTGCAATCCCCTTCTTTCTTCTAAATTTTCACAATACCATGTCAGAATCCCAACCACTAAACCATTGGGATAAAAGGGCTTGTTAAGCAGCGGGTCAGTGCGCCCATAACCCCCCTGGCCAACATGCCTGTAACCCTTTCATAGGATCAATCAGGGATCTCCAGTGGACCTCTGACAACGCGAAGGTCAAAGGTTGCTACCTTTGACTTGACAAATAAAGCGCAACAGCAAGGACAAACAACTGACTCGATACTGAGCAGTTGCCCGAGTCGTCACTGTATCGAACCGCAACAGCAACAGTAAAACAGTTACCGTCATCGCTCGGATATAAGACATATATGTATTATCTCGTACACGGGCAAAAATGCTTGAGTTATCTTGTAAACGGGATGGTTTAGGGTGTCTTATAAGTCTTATAAATGGAATTTTTTTTAAGTTGACTGTAACACTTGCCAAGTGTGTAGAAACCACCCAAAGACCAATTTCATTTAAACAGGCCGACCTCGGTGGTGATGCATGCAGCGCCCACACTTTCCACGTGAGGGAGCTGCCACCGCTGGCAACATTCCTCTGTGCTGGCAGCATCTAATGATGCTGCCAGCGTCGTTTTGCTGCCAGGAGCGCATGGATGCTTCCAAAACGCTGCTGGCAGCACGTTGGCAGCGTGAGGGCTGTCCTCTACGAGGAGATGCCTCGTAGAGGAGCGGCTCGGCACCTGTGGATGGGGCACTCTGGCTGGGGGGGGTAGTCGGGCTCTCACTTCATTTCGTGCTCAAGGAGGTTGAATACTCGTCTCAACCTTGCTCTCGGCAGGCTCTCTAACCATGCGCAGCAAAGTACCAGTAGGCAAGTCCTCACCTCGTCCTCACGTGCAGGTTAATAACTACGGGCGAATTAACTCGCCCGGCGATGACATCTGTGTAGCCATGGCGAAGAACGCGAGCAAGGCGGCAAGTCCTACTGCCGCCTCCGGTGCGAGCTGTGACGGGGACGACGGAGATGAAGCGAACGGCGACGACGCCGAGGAGGATTGGCCGGAGAACGGCCACGACGACAGCGCTTCAGGCGACGATGTAGGTCTTGCTGACATCGAGGAGGACGACTGGTGGAATCGGCCGGTCGGGAGCGACGACGAGGTGGAAGAGTGGCATGCTGGTGATTCCGACAACGACGGAGGTAAAGATGCGCATGGTAACAACGCGGAGGCAGCGGCGGATGCACAGGAAGCGGCGGTGGATGCGAATGAGGAGGCTGACGACAAGGCGGGGGCGGAACTTGAGACATTTGCGCCTGCGGATGCGGCCGCAGTTGCGGATGCGGAAGGCGAGGAAGGCGGCGACGACGACCCATGGAGCTTTGGGACCGACAACGACGTCCCGCTAATGAAGCGGAGGCTGCGCCATCGCCTACAGTCCAAGTCAAAGCGGGCCCGCGTGGTGCTCTCTGACGACGACGGTCCGGGGGAGGAGCGTCGCCCGATACTCACCGCTGCGGAGAAGGGGAAAGCCAAGGTCGCGGAAGCCCCTGCTAAGGCCCCTGCTCATCGCCGCAGAAGCAACAAGAAGCTGACATCCGACGGAGACCCGGGATCCAGCAAGGGTGCGGCTAAGAAGAAGGCGAAGAAGGCGCCGAATCCTGACGACATCGTCGTGAACGAGCCGCTGGGCAGCGACGATGAGTACGCGGCGGCGGCGGGCCCGATTCCCACGTTCCCTGAGAAGGTAACGCCGAGGGACCCCACCCTCCATAATCCCAACACCCGCCCACCTTCCCCTCGCAGCAAAGACACTACGAAGAAGCGCCGCAGTTGGACCGTGCGTGAGAAGCTTAAGTGGGCGCGCCGCTATCAGGAGCTCGGCTCCTTGAAATAGACGAGCGTGGAGTCAACCGCGTCCATCGCCTGCATCAGACGCTGGTGTGCGGAGGCGGAAGCGGGCGTCTACAAGGGCGCGGCCAACTGCCGCAAGCGGATGGACGGGGGGGGGGGGCGCCACTCACACTACCCCGACATGGAGGCAACGTTGTACCGCTACATCTGCCTTCAGCGCGCTAACGGGGTGGCCATCTCGGTGAAGGACACCCAGAAGTGGAGCCGCGAGTGGATGAAGAAGCATTACCCCGGCAAGAACTGGAATGCGACCTCTCACTGGAGCCAGCGTTTCCGTGACCGCTGGAACCTGGTGATGCGGGTGAAGACCAAGGTCGGCCAACGTCTGTCGGCAGGTGCGTGTTGAAGGATTTCGTCTGGTGCTCTATTGAATGCATGTACCTCACCCAGTGTCTAACCATCCCGTGCTTCCGTTGCGCTTGTCTCGTTTGCAGAGTGCGCGAAGGACTGCGAGTCCTTCTGGAAGTTTGTGCGCATCAACAGGGCGCGGCACAAAATCGACCTGGCCCGCATCATCAACGCGGACCAGACTCCACTATTCGTGGAGATGCCAGCCGAACGGACGATCGAGCACCGTGGCGCGCGCTCGGTCCCAATCCGCACTGCAGGCTACGAGAAGACGCGCTTGACGGTGATGCTCGCGTCCACTGCATCCGGGGAGAAGCTGCGGCCGTGGGTGTGGTTCAAGATGAAGAACGTCCCCAACTGTGAGATTCCGGAAGGTAAGCGAGCGTGAATTCAACCGTGCGACTGCCTGATGAGCGTGCCCCACTGCGCTGATGCCCGTCTGTCCCTTGTGTGCCTGGCATGAATCGTGGTCCAAGCACAGGACAACGGGTGGATGGACGAGACCGCTGTGCAGACCTGGCTGTCCAAGGAGGTGCTGCCCCATCTGAACCCCCAGCGCGGCCAGAACGCAAGGCGGGCGATGCTGGTGTTGGACTCCTGCCGCGGTCACATCACCCAGACCATGCTTCAGTCGTACCGCACGCACAGCATCACCCCTGCAGTCATCCCAGCGGGTTGTACGAGCCAGATTCAACCCCTGGACGTCTCCATCAACCGGTGCTTCAAGGCTGTTGTGCGAGCGCGCTACGCCAGGTGGTTCATGCGTGAAGGGATTCACCTGAAGACGAAGAAGGGTGAGTTGGTCCTTCATTTACGGTTATATTCATGTTCTGTTTCGTGTCCTTATCTTAAACATGCTCCTTCATATCCATGTCTCTTACATCTCGCTGCCCCGTCCTTTGTCCCACCCGCAGGGAACCTGCGGAGGCCTCCGCACCCCGTGGTGCTGCAGTGGATCGCGGAGGCTTGGGATCAAGTCCCCAAGCAGATCATCATCGACGCGTTCCGCCACTGTGGGATCTCGAGCAAGCTGGACGGAACAGAGAACCACCTGGTGATGTCTCACCTGCGCGCCAAGAGCACCACCGATGTCTCCGCGGACATGTCTCTCGGGGGGACCACAGGCGTGAGAAAATGAGAACGAGAATGAATGAACTATGAATGAACTCAGTACAAGTACTAACCCTAATTGGGTTGTACCCCTTGTGGGCTACCCCACTATAGCCTACACAATATGCAAAAGCTATATGTTCTAACACACCCCCATAGGCAAAGTGGGGGAGAACAAGGGGTCACAAGACCAGTCAAGCAAAGCAAAGCAAAGCAAGCTCAGGGTGGATCACAAAGTCACCACACAGTCCGAGCACAAGGTTAAGGCCACAAGGCCAGTTCACATGCAGGGGTAGAGAAATATATATAAGGCTAAATAAACAAGAACAGGTAAATATATATATGCAAGAGTACAAGCAAGGTCAAGAGGTGAGCAAGTGAGGCAAGACGGGGACAAGTCCCAGCTGAGTGCAGAAGCGCTGATGATCACAAGGCGGAAGTGCCTTGGTGAAAACATCAGCAGTGTTGGCCTCAGAGGCCACGTACGCAAGTCGCAACTGACCACGCTGCTGCAGCTCACGAGCAAGAAAGTAGCGAAGAGCAATGTGCTTCGTTCTGTGCTCCAGGCGCTGCTCACGACACAAGGCCAGCATGGCCTTGTTGTCTACGTACAGCACTGGAGGAGAACGAGGCGACTCTCCAAGGTCGGTCAGCAGGTACGTGAGCCAGCGAAGCTCCTATGCAGCCATGGCCCCGGCGTAGATCTCGGCCTCACAACAGGAGCCGAGAGCAGAGGACGAGCGAGTAGCCCGCCACGAAACAGAGCCAGAACCAAGACTAAAGGTGTAACCCTGGGACGACCGCTGAGTAGCCTGGTCGTCAGCCCAAGAAGCGTCTGCGTGCCCAGTGAGGACCACTGGACTCCGCCCTCCAAGCACTAGCCCCATGCCCGAAGTACTGCACAAGTAGCGCAACACCCTCTTCGCTGCAGCCATGTTCTCTGGTCTGTGTCTCTCAGGAGCAACATAGCGTGCAAGAATGCTAAGAGGGTATGCAACGTCAGGTCGTGTGCAGGTCATCAGGTACATGAGGCAGCCAACAAGCTCTGGGTACGGGCCACTCGACTCTACGGACTCATCCGAAGGCAGAGCCGAGAGCGAGTGGCGAGTAGACAGAGGAGTGGCATGAGGCGAGGAGTACGTGAAGCCGAAGCGCTGAAGGACCTGCTGCACCATGTGTGACTGAGTCAAGGTAATGGTGCGGCGTGCTCTGTCCCGGGTGATCTGCAAGCCAAGGTAGCTGCGCAGTTCACCCAGGTCTGTGCACGTGTGTCTCTTCTGCAGCTCGGACTTCACGTGGGCGAGTCCAGCAGTGTCAGCTAAGGCAAAGACCAAGTCGTCGACGTACACGAGGATGTAGAACGTCGGCAGAGAGGTGTCGGTGCGCAGACCGTAGACTGGCCGTCGGAGGCTCCACTGGGTGCCAGGAGGGAAAGTCCTAGTGAAGCCAGGTGGACGGCGCAGCCAGATCTCCTCGTGCAGGCTACCCTGCAAGAAAGCAGTGCTGAAGTCAAGAGACTGAAGCTCGTAGTCGCGCTGAGCGGCTATGTGCAGCAGCACCCAAAGAGTGGTCATCTTCGGGGTGGGAGAGAAGGTCTGAAAGTAGTCAACTCCTTGCCGCTGACTGAAACCACGAGCGAAGTACCGCGCCTTGAAGACAGGTGGAGAGCCCGGCGGCCGCTTCACCCGGAAGATCCACATGCCACTGACGATGTTCGCCCCAGGAGGGGGAACCGCGTCAACGTAGGTGCCTGTGGACTTCCAGGAAGCCATCTCTGCATCCATAGCTGCCTGCCACTGAGAGGAGTAGGGACCCTCTACGGCCTCCGCGTAAGAGCGCGGAGTCGGGATGTCTAGTGCATCCGGGTCTCCCTCAGGGGCAAGCAGTACGGACGCGAGATGAGGTGAAGCAGTAGCCAGACACTGGAACTCCTTCTGCCTGTCCTCAAGGACGTCCGTGCCAAGAGCACACTCACCCCCGACGGACGGAAGACAGACAGACGCAGACTCAGCAACAAGGCTAGCAGCGTAGTCTAGACGACAGCGAGCAGCAAAGTCGACGAGCTCAGCAACAAGAGCAGACGCAGCAGTGGACTCAAAAGAGGGGTCAGTGACGACAGTAGTAAGGAGACGCGTGACAGTAGGACTGGCAGCACGAAGAGTGTCCGCCTCCGGGTCGGCCAGAGCAGGGAGAGAGGACTCGGGAGGAGAAGGCAAAGGGGCACGCAGAGGAGCAGTGGACGGACGCAGAGACATCCGGTGCGTGCCAGGGACAGGAGGAGGACGCTGACGCGAACCGCGACCACTAGCGCGAGAAGCACGAACAGGCGACGCGGGACGAGACGCAGGCTCACGACGCTCAGCAAGACCTCCAGTAGGACCAGTGTAAGGAGAGGGAGCAGGCAGAGGGGAGGCGGGCTCTAACTGTGACTGAGACTGGACACGCGGTGGTCACTCTACAGGAGGAGAAAGACCAAGAACCTGCTGAAGGAGCGGAACGAAGTACGCCCGAGGCCGCGCGGCAACTCCAGACACAGCAGGGACAGCACCAGCACCCTCAGAGGCAGCACCAGCGCCAACAGCACCTCCAGCTGTAGGACCTCCAACAGCACCAGCAGCACCCGCAGCAGGACCACCGCCAGGACGGACAGCAGTAGTCTCAGCACCAACACCCTCAGCAGCTCTAGCTCCAGTCGGACCCGCAGGCTCAGCAGCTCCGGGACTGGCGGCACCAGCACCCTCAGCGGCCGAAGAAGCTCCAGCTCCGGCAGTACGGCTCCAGCGGCGAGTAAACCACTCGCGCAGCTCCTGTGGAGAGAGGGGCTCCCGCCGAGACAAAGCACCCGGAGAACATCCAGACTCAGCATCGCCAGACGCCACAAGGGGAGGTCCAGCGACCGCAGGCTCCGCACCTCCAGGCTCAGCAGCTCCAGACGCAGCACCCCCTGGCTCAGCACTCCCAGGCTCAGCACCCCCAGGCTCAGCACCCCCAGGCCCAGCACCCCCAGTCGCAGTACCCCCAGGCTCAGCACCCCCAGTTGCAGCACCCCCAGACTCAGCACCCCAAGGCTCAGCACCCACGCGCGCAGCACCCCCAGAGTCAGCACCCCCAGGCTCAGCACCCGCAGCAGTACCAGAGTCACCAGCAACCTCGACCGGCTCGACTGCGTCTACCTGGGACACACCTGAAGGGGCAGGACCCTTAGGGGGAAGGGGGTCTACCGGGGGGGGACCTGGCACGAGGAAGTGCGGTGGCGGGGGGAGGGAAGGAGTGCGGTAGGGGAAGAGGCGGTAGAAGGGGACTGACTCGTCGAACGTGACGTCCTGGGAGGACAGAACACGACGAGAGGAGGGGTGGTAGAACTGCCACCCTGGTGCGTCAGGGGGGAAGCCAAGGAAGACACAGGGAGCAGCACGAGGGGACAGCTTGTCCGCAGACAAGTCGCGGACAAACGCCCGAGATCCCCAGACACGGAACGCAGACGCATCGCCGACCTTCCCCTTCCACAGCAGAGCTGGGGAGGTCTCGGGCCGGGAGACCCTAGGGTGAAGGTTGATCTGATGCGCCGCGTACCGAACCGCAAACGGCCACAGAAAATGGGGGGCAGCCGCATGCATCATGGACGTACGAGCGACGTCCATGACCATGCCAATGCGGCGCTCAGCAATCCCATTTTGCTGTGGAGAGTCCGGAAGCGTGAAGGTCTGGCGGATGCCTCGCGCACGACAGAAGGCTCGCAGAAGGCCAGAGGAGAACTCTCCGCCTCGGTCAGAGTGCAGACGCAGAACAGGAAAGTTTGAGCCGAAGCTCCTCCTGAGCTGGAGACGAGCCTCGCGGATCCAGTCGATCAACACCGCAGTGACATCACCCTTGCTGCGCAAGGGGAAGACTGTGGTGTAACGCGAGTAGTTGTCAACCACCAGCAGGAAGTAGCGCTCGTGACCCTGTCCACGGACGTGGGCCGGGCCCCACACGTCCAAGTGAAGCGTCTGCAGCGGAGCCTCTGTCGGGGGAAACTGAGAGGAGTGAGGGGCAGCCCGGAGCCGCCCCTTGACACAGGGGACACAGGAAGGACCAAGCCCCAAAGGAAGGGGAGGGAGGGACTGGGGGAGACCAGAGACAAGGACACGGGAGGCCATGCCCTGAAGACGAGGCAAGGAGGGGTGACCAAGACGGTGGTGCCACAGGAGAGTCTTGTGAGACACGAGGCGACACGAGCAGGGGGCAGACTCAGGACCAGACCTGGACGCAGCAGCAAACACCTGACCCGACGCAGCTACCTGGCCAGACGCAGAGACAGGAGGAGACGCAGTGGTCGGGGTGTAGAGACTCGACCCCGACCTGCGTGAAAACGTGGCCAGGTGTCGGCCTGTGCCGGCATCCGAGCAGTGGGTCACCCGCTGACTCGCAGGAGTGAAGTGGTGAACCCCCGCATCCTGCAGGTCAGCACCACTCACCAAGTTCGTCGAGAACGAGGGGAGGTACAGACCAGACAAGGTGCCCGAGGGGGCAGCCGGACACGGGAGGAGTGTGGAGAAGTGAGAGAGGACAGGACCCCCAGAGGGGTCAGCCAGGGAGACTGCAACCGGCCGACCAAGCGGCGTGAGTGTGGTGCGGTCTCGAAAGAAGGAGCGAGAAGCCCTCGAGTCAAGCGTGAAGGTGAGGGAGGCCGAAGTCGACGCGGTACCTTAGAACGCAGCCTCACCAGTACCTGAGGGCGCAGACGTGCTGGCACCCAGAGCAGCAGCCTCACAAGCACCTAGCGCAGCAGTACCTATGCCCGGGTCGGGCGGGAAACACCGGTAACAGTCACCCTCATCACTAATAGTCACAGCATACATGGCAGCAAGGATAGCATCAAAGTCAAGATCATAGATAGCTACGCCTGCCCTAGACAGCTCTCCCCAGCGGGGGATCTCACTAGCCTCGGGGAACCGCTGACGCCAAGCGTCCGTCAGGCGGCCAAAGCAGCGCTGGGTGGGGTGGGCACCCCCACACTGCTCACCCGCGCGGTCGTCGGAGCGAAGG